TGGTATGTTTATAAAGCAATTGTGAATCAGAAATGAATTTTTGAGCCAGGGTTTCTCGGTACATCAATTCGTCCCCTCGTAACAACTTGGTACAGTTATTTCTCAATAAGGAATAATTATTCCAAGTTTCGATAGATGGACATCTTCTGTACTCCCGCCAAGAAAAGTTCCTTTGCTCTAACCATTTCTTTGTTCGGCTGCGAATGAATGAATGACGAGTTTTAGACTTAGCACAAGTTTTTATACTTATTGCAGCCGTTACAATTTCGGTAAGATAATCAGTAAAGCTCTTCCATGCTACCAAAGGATCGTGATCATCTTCTGGGAGGACCCATTGCTTAATTATTGCCAGGTTTTGAAGCTTTTTGTAGTCTATGATGGCACGAGTACTGCTCTTTCGGTTTTCTTGGGNTACTGCTCTTTCGGTTTTCTTGGATGGAGGCGTAGCCTACATAATCGAACTTGAATACGGCATGATCACTACGTCTTAGTGGAGACGTGACATTGACAGATTCCACCAGCAGCTCCTCGTTAGTCAGCACTAAATCCAGTGTTGATGGTTCGTGACCTGCTCCAAATCTGGTGGGTTCTGTTACGTGGTTGTACAGTGGTTGCAATCCAATCAACTGAGATAATTGTCTCTCGAATGGCTGGCGGGAAGTTCCCGATCTAATGAGATTGGGGCAGTTAAAGTCACCCATTATGAGGGCATGGGTAAACTGTAGTGATAACGCATTCCTCATGGTTTGTAACAAAATCTCGTTGGCTGAGTCTGAAGATGCGGGAGGTCGGTATACAACACCGATTAGACACCTATGATTTTGGAGAGTCTTACTGAACACCATAACAAATCGGGGCTGCGTCTGAAATATCAAGCTGTTCACACTGTAAATTGTTTCGATGATAAAGAAGCACTCCACCGCCTCGTGTAGGACGATCCCGTCTGAGCAGCCGCATTTCAGATAGAAGCTATTCCGAGTCTAGAATGTCGGTGATCAGCCAGGCTTCAGTAACGGCAACAATATCAAATCGATTAGTTTTCCAACGAAGTTCCATCTCGGAGAATTTGCTAAGGTAACCTCGTGCATTGGTATAAAAACATGAAAAGATATCTTTGGCAAAGAAATCTATCTGGGTATGTGGTGTTGTTTCTGCCGACCAACTTGGGGTTGGCTAACAATGGTTTTTGTAGAATTGGCTTCCTTGGTGCTTCTTGGTAAACGTCGTGATAAAAACCGCACTAGTCGAGGAAGGTGGCGTGTATCAGTTGCCGTTTTCGGACTTTGCTGGGATCCAGTATTATGTAATAGTCTCAGGCTTAATTCCGGCGGACCTCTTTTTCAATTATTCTTCCACGACTGCAATAAGAAGTTAACCATTTCTGGCGTTCCGAGGGTCACTTTCATTATCCTCGGGCCGTTCCCGTGGTAGTTCGGTGAGCTGGGTAGACGACTAATTGCTGTAGTGAGAACCTGTGTGCAATTCAGTAGTTCTCGAATGAACCTCTAGTCACTAATATCTATTTACTTACTCAAGAATAATTTGGAGACCATGCACCCCATGGAGTGAAAAAAATACGGAATAAACGACACGCTAAGCTAATTGCTGACATTATTGATATCTAAAAAAACTCTATTTGCGATTATTGGTTCTCGTAGCTCGGGTGAACTAAATTCTATTTCGCCTGTTCGCCAAGCTTGGCAATTCGTTTGCAAACAATTCACAAGCACTGATGGTATCACCTCGGCTGGTGATGAAACGTTTGCAAACAAATTGCCAAGCTCGGCGAACAGGCGAAATAGAAATCTATTTGCGATTATTTTAATACAGCAATCGGACCGCAAATACATTCATCACTAAAAATGGACCACCACGGAATGATTTGATTTTTGAACAAACGAGGATGAAAATACTCGAGAAGAACCTACTTGTTGATGTCGACCCCAAGGTAAGCGACTTCCCGGCATGGAGGAAGTTTGAGGCCACACTGAATTGGTCCCTGCAGAACCAGCACCCACTGGCGTAGCACTACTAGTGGTAGTGGCAGCCGTAGTAACTGCCGCGGCACCCGTTTGCTGCGTCATATCTCCGAGTCCACCGGGACACGCGGGGCGAAAACTCGATCCCGCAGGTCCGGTGCTCGGGCCAGGGGCTACCGTCGCACCCATACATTCCGGTTTTTCTAACATTCGATCCATAATATAGTTGTGCATTCGAGTAACGCCTTCCAATGTTCCCTGGATGAGGCATACTCGCTCAACTGTACCTGAAATAATGTATTTTAGATGTATGGAGGGAGGCGAGGAAGAACACTGTAAGCCAGAAACAGAGAAAATGTGCTATAGAAAATTAAATACGTTCCCTGAAAGGTATATAAAATTCTCTGTAAACATGTGATAACCTGGAATTACAGGCTAAACAGTAGTAAAGTGCTTACTCGGTCAGGGCAAAACCGGGAAGTAACATGCCCACACAACCTATGAACACATTCCGTAGATTTCGTTTTGTTCATATGTTGTGGCACATTTGTCAGTTCTATGTAATTGGTTGCGTGTTTAAATGATAATAATAATAATGAAGTGCCAAATAAGTGACGTCATAGTGATTGATTACTCTTCAAAACACTTGCATATGGAGTACTGCTCACGAGCGAAATATATGGCTAACGGAGGGGTGCGTTAGCAATCCAGAGTATTGTCGATTAATCTCTATTGGTAACCGCAGTCATCACCACTCTCGAAATCCGATTTTGGTGGATTCACTACGTTCGCAATGCTGAATCGCTGACGGATCGGCAATGTTATATTTTTAGCACAAATAGTCAGCTGTGTTCTCCATCGTAATCTATGCCAGGTGAGTAGTCAGCATACAAGAAATATGCTTGATCTTTCACAAGAAAATGAATGAAGAAAAGCTACCACTGATAACTCCGAATAACCACGATTTAATTCACTTATTTATTCTCGATTATTGCCCGTGGAAGCATAAGAAGAATCTCGATCTGACATTAGTATGAGAAAGAAGATTGTATGTCGTTGTGCGTTCCAAGTTCGGAGAACCAGTGGAGTTTTAGATATTTGCTTTCGCCCGATCGGCTAAGAGGTCTTATTATCCGAAATAGAATGAATTATAACAAACAAGAATTCCATATTGTAATGGATGGTAACATAGAAAGGGTTGCGATCAAATTTAATGAGCTTAAGTGGCGGAATTTATGAATCCGGTGGAAAAATTGAAATTTTGATAATTGTCATTGAAGAGAATAGCATTGTACACTGCGTTTTATCAGACGCTAAACCCCTATAGCTGCCACAACTCCCCCCCCCCCCCCGNAATATTTGGAAATGTTTCCATGGTCATAGCGCAGTCAGATCGATTCGGGGCATTAGACCAACCAATCGAGACCCAGTCATTCCGACTTTGATAGGACATTGAACGGATGCATACGATCATAGGTGTTTTGTCTGGAGTAAACATAAATGATCATATTTGATGAAGGTCACTTGCAGCCGTATGGTGGTGTGACATTTTTTCTTTGCTGTTTGGAACAGATCCCGCCAAAATAAGTGAGCAAACAATAAAAACATGTAGGTCACCAGTGAACACATACAATACTAGAATAATGTTCGTTCTCGATCGAACTTAAAACCAAATTCATTGGTAGAAAAAAGTCAATGGGTTAATTAAAAGCTATTCGCCGTTGCCGTGTCGGAACCAAACACAAAAACGACAGACAATATCGAGAAGAACCGAAATAGTGATTCACATCGGGCGCGAAAACAGAGGATCAGATCCTCGACTTGATCCGACAGGTGCGTGTCTTCGAATAAAAATCCCCACAATATGCATACCTTCAAATTCACCTAAGCAGAAACTGCAAAGGATTATTCTAAGCTCGTAGACGAGTAAACTGTTACCACAGTTCGACAATAACCCAGCCATAGTGACCAACACAGATACGCCTTTGCCTCTCTGATTTTAAGATGCAATCAGTCTTGTTCATTTGAGCGTGTACCAATTGAAACCATTGGAAAAAAACAAAGGGCGGTCAAGCTAAGACCTGGCATGAGGGTATGAAAACCCTAACCAGGAGATTAAGTCACATAGGCCCCGTTAGGCTCCCTGGCTGGGGACCTCGGGATGATGGTCACCGATGGTTAGCTACACTGAGTGATATGGCTGGGTGTCGCAAACACTGGCGCTCGTGCATCCACTCGTTATTTTCCTAACACACTCTATATGTATTTTCCATCTTCCGCTTGAATTTGCTTCGACATTCCCATCTTCATTTCGCTATTTTATCCAAATGGGCAACCAAAAGACAGCAACCAAAACCGGCGCACGAAAGTGCATGGTTAATGGTTGTAAAACTGAAAATGAAACTGAATTGAAACCAGAAAGGTAGAAGAGTAAAAATTTGAACTCTTAGTGATGATGTACTGCTTGTTATTGTAACTAAGAAAACAACTGTAGAGTATGTTCAAAACGCTTGTAGACGGTTTCGTGAAAGCTATAAACTGCATAACATAGTTATCCCAAATGCCTTCAAAATAAAATATAATCGAGAAACAATGCCGTAAAGCTTTGTTGAAAAATGAATGCTGAGTAGCGTTTATAAACTGCCATTGATTCAGATATGTCGACCCAGGTTCTAATCGTATAACTCGGCATCCATGCGCCTCACAAGATCCAATCAACGATTTCCATGTTCGTTTTACTGTACGCACGTGCCTTCTCGCCTCTAACTAAAAACCGTGCCAAACTAGGCGTGTTATACTCTTGACACAATAATTCTTTTCCCGAGGTACGCATTTCACAAATTTTCACTATTAGAAAATTGATTTA